TGTCCCCTGCCTGCCGCGCGCTCCGGGCGCGCGGCGGTTTTCTGCCCCGTCGAACCGCGCGTCGCCCCCTGTCGACCGTCGCGTCGCCCCCCGACGCACGACGCGGCCCGCGCGACCTGCGCCAGGCCCGCGCGCGACCCGTACAGGCTGCGCCAGGCCCGCGCGCGGCCCGTACGGGCTGCGCCAGGCCCGCGCGCGGCCCGGGCAGCCCGCGTGCGGTTCGTCCCGAGCTTCTGACCGCGCCCCACCCCCACTGCTGCCTGTGCTCCTGTGTTAGGGTTTGGGGGTGGGGAGTATGGGGGTGACAGGTGTGTGCGGCCTTCCCTGCTCCTCCTCCTCCTCCGTCTCCCGCTGCTGCAGCTGCCGCTGAGGGGGGTGGATGTGTGGGAGCCGTTGGAGTGGTACGAGGGGGGTGGCGTGTGAGGAGTGCTAGGGGCACAGCAGTGAGTGTGTGAAAGGGGTGTGAGACAGTTGGGGGAGGTTGACAGGAGGTGGCCGTTGTGACGTCTGCAGCGCCAGTAGTCCGGGGGTTGAGTACTCCGGTAGCCCAGCGAGCCTGCTGCTGCCAGTCGCCCGTGGGTCTGTTGCTCCTGCTGCTGCTTAGCACGGAGCCAGTTACTCCTGTAGTCCGGAGGTTGAGTGCTCCGGTAGCCACCGTGCGCGCCGTTCCTGTTGCCCGTGTGTCCGCGGCTTCACCCGTCGCCTTCTATCTTCACTCCTCTCACAGTCTCTCCTCCTCCTCACTTGCCCTCTGTGACTGCCTCTAGCTTTGCTTATCATTGTGAACTATTGCTCTATGACTGCTTGTTGTGTTGATTGTACCCCACTTTGACTATGGGGGTGTATCAGAATGTGATGTTTGTGTAGCCTGCAGTGGGGTACTCTGTAGCGAGTACAGCCCGAATTATGGTTTGCTATATGTACTCAACTGCATGTTAGTGAAAACCCCTTCTTTCCTGTTTCTGATTCTTGCCTAGACTTTCGACAGTGAGTAGTCCGCTTGCAGATTTTCCAGCCGCTCCATTGCGTCTCTCATGTTGCCGTCGGCCATTGTAACCGGGTATTGAAGCGTCACAAAGAATTACCATAGGTTTGTCACGCGCGCGTTCATGCGAAACCGAAGCGCCCACTCGCGAAAGTTGGTGCCGTCAAATGGGGTAGTAGTGAACGCCTTGTCCACCGTTGCCCCCACCATCTTACGTGACAGTCGGTCCTTGTCTTCCTCCGTATACTCGCGTGGAGACGGGTCGAAGAGAGTAGGCATGGTAGATGGGCGTGGCAGTTGAAACGAGCGTTGCGTTCCACCGTCTTGACCATACGTGCGTTGCTCCACCACTTCCACGCGATCACGTCGCATAACACCACTTGACTGCATCCCGTGCTCGTGCGCCCCATGCTTCCTGCAGGTGCAGCTCCCATTTGACCACGTGGTGCACGAGGAGGTACGATGTTTTCTCCAAAAAGGTGAGATCTGCTCATGACGGGACCTCCAACGGGGTGAGTGTTAGTGGCAAGACGTCGTAGTGGGGGAGCACCAATAGTATAGGACTCAAATCCCACACCTTCCACGCCCACTTGACCAACTCTGCCACTCCCTTCACCAGTCTGCCTCCTCATGCTCCTTTCCATGCCAAATTCATCACCACGTTCCCTTGCACCCACTCCACTCCCGTACTCATCATCCCTCTCGCTTGCTTCCCTTTGTACGGTTGATGGAGGTGCGGCGTGAGAACTCCCCTCTCCTTGGAAAGATGCGTCCCTCCCTTGGGACGACTCTCCTCCTCGGGGTACGTCTCCCTCCACTTCACCTCCAACCTCAGCATGCGCATTTGAAGTGTGGGTTTGCTCGGTATGTGGAGTGCTTGCATGTGACTGTCCACGAGTGGATGGGTCTTGTGCTTGACTTGGCATGTTGAACTTGACTCGTAATGACGCTTGAAGTGTTGGTGGTGCCTTTGCGATCATGTTCTCCAGGTGCTCATGTTGAGCCATAATGGCTTCTTCAAACGCCGCGTATCCTCCATCAACTTCCTTATCAAAACGAGCCATGCCGTTGGTTCAGAAAGTTGCTCGTTCCTATGCTAACGTGCTGGTATCCTTGTCAAACGTTGTTGATAATAAGTTCCTGACCAATTTCGGCAGCATGCCCCCTAGAGTTGCTCTGATACCATGCTAGAAAGGCATAGTGCCGTCGTAGCGGAAGCCTTGATTGTATAACAGAACAGAACTTAAAGTTTGCTATGGAATGGATTGATTAAGAAATGACAGAGCAGTGTATTTATCCAAGCAGCTAACCCCCTCAGGATGGTTTCATCCACACCAATAATGCCACACCAATAATCCTACCCGCCAATAATTCTTACCCTCCAATAATTATGGCCCTCCAATAATTGTACAATTATTGGAGGGCTTGGAGTCTTATAAAGAAACATTACAGTAAAATCTAACAGCATTTGTATTATCTTATGTTTGTATATTTAACACCTTTTTGCTATAATCAAGTACCTAAGATAACATACGGGTAGAACTGTGAATATGAGCATGTGGGTGTTGTTAGGACCGTGTCCCAAACGTTCATTGTTCCTGAATACATTACCCAGCCATTCAAATACGGTATTACCGCTTGTACCCCAGAAATTGACTGTGCACTCTTAGTGCGGTGAGTTTCTACAAACCGCTCTGTTTGAAAAACAGAATCCACTACGGGAAGAAAAAGTGTAATGAAATTTCCACGCTCTTGTTTTTCTTTCCAACTTATAACACACTGTACTCGGTATGCACGATGACACGCCAAGTACAGATAAGGAAATCCATTACAGCTGAGGAGATTAGAACTGCCAGAGAAGTGCATTTTACCACAGCACGTGTCGCGGACCCGCAGTTTTCTCGCTGCGTTGTTGCTGCATTTTCCGTGCGCCCGTTTTCGAGAACTTTCAAAAGTATTTCCGCATTCTCCGTGCGTCCGCTCACCCATGTAAGAACCGGGTACTGGGGCGTAACAGCCTGGCGTTATTGCCGTTTGGGTTTAATTTCGTAACGCGCGATTAATTGCGTGAGTAACAGGAGCTCTAGAATCAAATTCCGACATACGTACGAAATTATTTTAGGGCTAGCTGACGAGGGGAGGGTGGGGAAAGACAGGGTGAGGAGCAGGTAACGAGGGTGAGGAAATTACAGCCTATCCCTTCCCCGCGGCCGTCCTGTCCCTTGAGCAATTCGCGTCCCTTGCGCTTTTCGATTGGACGCTAGCTTCAATTGGACGCTGGCTTTAATTGGACGCTGGCTTTAATTGTAATTCCATAACGAATGGCTCCAGAACGCCCTTCGAGCGGACGCACCCTGGCGCGCCAACGGCTCGGCTGTGGCTTTATTTGACTCCCCTTCCCTTCCTTTCCCCCTCCTCCTTTCGCCCACGCGTCTGCAGCAACCACACACAAGCACGCACCCCATGGCTCCTCCTAAGAAGGCCCTCAGACCGGACGCGCCCTGGCGTGCCAAGGGCAGGGGGGTGGCCCTCATTTGTTTCGCTTCCCTTCCTTTCCCTTCCTTTCCCCTCCTCCTTTCCCCTCCTCCTTTCCCCTGCGCGTATGCAGCAACGAAGCACACTCACAGACACACAGCATGGCTCCACCCAAGAAGGCCCTCAGAGCGGACGCGCCGTGGCGAGCCAAGGGCACGGGGGTGGCCCTCATTGGCGGGCCCCCTCTGGCGAGTGTGCGACGCGGGCCGGAGTTTGACTATGCCATGAGCATCATGCGGGTGGGTGGTGGGGCTGTGAACCGACTAAAAGAGAGGGGTGCTGGTTACAGTGTGACACGGGGCAGAGTTTGACTATGCCATGAGCATCATGCGGGTGGGTGGTGGGGCTGTGAACCGACTAAAAGAGAGGGGTGCTGGTTACAGTGTGACACGGGGCAGAGTTTGACTATGCCATGAGCATCATGCGGGTGGGTGGTGGGGCTGTGAACCGACTAAAAGAGAGGGGTGCTGGTTACAGTGTGACACGGGGCAGAGTTTGACTATGCCATGAGCATCATGCGGGTGGGTGGTGGGGCTGTGAACCGACTAAAAGAGAGGGGTGCTGGTTACAGTGTGACACGGGGCAGAGTTTGACTATGCCATGAGCATCATGCGGGTGGGTGGTGGGGCTGTGAACCGACTAAAAGAGAGGGGTGCTGGTTACAATGTGACACGGGGCAGAGTTTGACTATGCCATGAGCATCATGCGGGTGGGTGGTGGGGCTGTGAACCGACTAAAAGAGAGGGGTGCTGGTTACAGTGTGACACGGGGCAGAGTTTGACTATGCCATGAGCATCATGCGGGTGGGTGGTGGGGCTGTGAACCGACTAAAAGAGAGGGGTGCTGGTTACAGTGTGACACGGGCCAGAGTTTGACTATGCCATGAGCATCATGCGGGTGGGTGGTGGGGCTGTGAACCGACTAAAAGAGAGGGGTGCTGGTTACAGTGTGACACGGGGCAGAGTTTGACTATGCCATGAGCATCATGCGGGTGGGTGGGTGGGTGCATGCGTGGGTGCTGTGATCTGTTTCGAAAGAGGGGGCTTTGAGTCGACTCATCGGAGGGCCGGCGCTGGCGACAGTGCGGGGAGGAGGGCAGAGTTTGACTATGCCATGAGCATCATGCGGGTGGGTGGGTGGGTGCATGCGTGGGTGCTGTGATCTGTTTCGAAAGACGGGCTTTGAGTCGACTCATCGGAGGGCCGGCGCTGGCGACAGTGCGGGGAGGAGGGCAGAGTTTGACTATGCCATGAGCATCATGCGGGTGGGTGGGTGGGTGGGTGGGTGGGTGGGTGGGTGGGTGGGTGGGTGGGTGGGTGGGTTGGTGGGTGGGTGAGTTTAACTATGCAACGAGCATTCTGTGCCGATCTCGCTACTTGGGTATGCTTCTGCTGCCTGAGTCTCGCCGCCTGCCCTCGTGCCGATTCGTTCTTTCCTTTTCTTCTCCTCTTTTTTCCTCAGTAGCTAATCTCGTGCTCCAATGCGTTGCTTCAGCTGCCTCGTTTCCCTCACTGCGCCGTCCCGCATTCCTTCCCCCCTCCTTCCGCAGCCCCCTCATCCCCCCACCCAGCATCCGGACCCCATAGGAATGGGGTTGGGGCAGGAGGCAGGGGCGGAAGAGGCATGTCCTTTCCTTATGCTGCCACTGCTGCTCCCCGCATCCCCCCAGCATCTGGACCCCATAGGCATGGGGTTGGCGCAGGAGGCAGGGGTGGAGGCGGCATGCCCTTTCCTCATTCTGCCACTGCTGTTCGTCTTTCTCCTTTTCCCGTTCCCACTTGCCTTCCCTGCATCTCCCCAGCACCCAGACCCCATAGGGATGGGCTTGGCACAGGAGGCAGGGGTGGAGGCGGCAGGGGAGGACTGACTGGTGCCGGGGCTTAAGAGGCCCGTCATTGTCATGGGCATGCAGGTGGGTGGAGAGCGGCGGAGATGGGTGGTATAGGCGTGGATGTGGGTGATCTAGAGCCGTATTGCTGCTGATGCAAGCGGCAGGGGTGGAGGCGGCAGGGCCCGTCATTGTCATCGGCGTGCAGGTGGGTGGAGCACTTTGGAGATGGATGGAGATGGGTGTGGGTGCAGATGGGTGCAGATGGGTGGATTCGGGCGTGCAAGGCAGATGAGTGCCGATGGCTTTTATTCAGGTCTGGCCACTAGAAGTCGACAGCCCATTTTTCTCCTGAAAGGCTGTTCAGCAGCCTCCCTGCCTTTGCTTCCTCCTCCTCCGCTTCTCTTCCGTCTACGCCCCTTTCCCGCCGCGCTGCCTTTCCCCTCCCCTGCAGGTGTGGCCACTGGAGGTCAACAACAGCCCACCCCACTGTCCTGGAAGGCCATTCACGTGCCTCCCCATCCCTCCGCTCCTGCATTCGCCTTCCCCATCCTTCCCTCCCTCCCCTCCCCTCCCCTCCAGGTATGGCCACTGGAGGTCAACAGCCCGCTCTCCTGGAAGGCGATAGAGCCCATGGCCCGAGAGCTCAAGACCGTGTCCAAGGTAGGGTGTGGTGGGGTGGGATGGGATGGGATGGGGTGCTGGAGATGTGGAAGCAGAGCCGGGGTTTTCTGCTCCCAAGCATTGTCGAGCTCATCGGACCCGGGCTTAAGACGGTATCCAATGTAGAGTGCGGTGCTGTTGGGTGGGGTAAGGTGGGGTGGGGTGGGATGGGGTGGGATGGGAGGAATGGTGGGCGTCAGCAAGGGAGTTCTGAGTCGAATGGAGTGGCGGTATGGGAAAGGAGGTGAGGTTAGCTCCCCTGCTGAGATTGGTTCTCTTCTCAGGCGTCGCTGTGAAGTCTGGGAGATGAAGACTGCATTCTCGCTTGACTCACCTTCCCCACTCTCCTCCCTCAAAAGTCACTCCCTCTCCCCTCCCCCTGCTTCCCCCTTCTCCCCTCCCCCCCATTGCCCCCCCCGTGCCTGTGCAGCTAGCAGAGAAAGCCATTGACCTCATGAACGCCCCTCTTGGCCACTGATGGCTTTTAGAAAGTTGTTTCTTCTAGTCACTCATTCGTGTCTGCACTGCACTACATTGCTTCCTTCCTACTCAGGCTTTTAGGCCTGCTGTAGATGCGCGTTAGTACCATGCTTGCAACCATTCGGGGTCACTGAAACCATGGTTGGACTAGAGGGGCTGTAGGAGTCTTGTTCGCAAGGCACACAGAAAGAGTTGCGGGTTATCTCGTTAGTGATTCTTTTGTACAATCCTAACTGATGACAATGCTAACTGGCAACTATCGTAAAGGCTACAACGTCTACATGCCTGAAAAAATTCTGGCTAGCCGCCGAAGCCGTATAGTGTTCTGCCTTGGCGTTTCAAAGCATAAACAACATCCATGGCGGTGACCGTCTTTCTCCGCGCGTGCTCCGTGTAAGTCACAGCGTCACGAATGACATTCTCGAGGAACACCTTCAGCACACCGCGAGTCTCTTCGTAGATTAGACCGCTGATACGCTTGACGCCGCCGCGGCGAGCGAGACGCCTGATAGCCGGCTTGGTGATGCCCTGGATGTTATCGCGAAGAACCTTCCTGTGACGCTTCGCGCCTCCCTTTCCAAGGCCCTTGCCTCCCTTGCCGCGTCCCGACATGTTGACTGACGAACTTTAATCGCACACGAAGATACGGCTGGGAAGTCTTCAAGACAAGCTGAAACTGAAGGCGAGACGCAGATGGAGCTCAATCAGTCGGAGGTCAAGGATATGAGCAGCTCCGCAACGAAAAAAGTTATATTATGACGACTCTCTTCAATCTCGAAAACCAAAGGCAAACTGGAACAATGAATTCGATTCAGAGAAGGAACCGGATAGATTTGCACAGAATGAACTGAAACTAGAGACTTGGAGAGGGACTGGAACTATGGAAATGAGGATCGATTCAGAGCCCCTTTATTCAGAGCACCCTGGCTGTTGGGGTCAGACCAATGGAGAGAAGCGATGGTTGGGGAGGATGGTGTGGTGCGTTTCGATGTGGTTTGGTATGGTGTGGTGGTCAGTTCGCCTAGTCCAGCGCGGTGGTCCTGTGGGTTTCATCTCCTTGTTTGGTGAAGTTCGAGATGGGTTGGCGTGTTGTACGGTGGTGTTGACGTTTATTGGTCGTCGATGAGGAAGTTGGGGACAGTAATATCAACGGCGCACCACGATTTACGTCGATCCAGAAACGTTTGCAAATGTGATCTGTGATTGGCTTACGGCCAGGGTAGACTGCAGTGACTTTCACCCGACGAATTAATGTTCGCAAAGTTACCACACCGTGCACGACCGCAAGCACTACGCCGTTGAATTTGATCCGACGATCTGAAATTGAGCGGAAGCAGAACCCAGCTGGAAGTGCTATTGACGGTTCAGCGAATTACACGGTTCTTTATCGACGGTGTGTATTGAAGTCTTCGATCTGTTGCCCAGCGTTTTATTGGCTAATTTTTGAAAGAAACAAACAACCACAACCGTTTCGGTTATTGCAACAAATCCCGAGAACCCGCACACCACGCAAACAACTGTTGAAATACGTTTGTGCGGCGACAATCTTCTGTATCTCAAGCGTCCGCTCTCGCATTTCGTAACATAGTTTCCTTATACAACGCTCTTCAGTTCTTCCTCCTACTGTCACTTTCCAAGGCCCTCTTTCCGTGTGAGTTACTTGTTTGTTGAGAAACGCTGTGTTACGATGGCGCCAAAGGTAGAAGGAGAGCAGAAGGCGGCGAAGAAGGGACCCAAGAAGGAGCCCGCCGCTAAGAAAGCCGTTCCCGCGGGGAAGAAACCCATCGGCGAAAAGAAAGAGAAGAAGAAGGCTCGCAAGGCCGTGACAGAAACGTACAAAATCTACATCTACAAGGTGCTGAAGCAGGTGCATCCAGACACGGGGATCTCGTCCAAGGCCATGTCGATCATGAATTCTTTTATAAATGATATTTTTGAGAAGCTCGCGACGGAGGCGTCGAAGCTCGCGCGGTACAACAAGAAGCCGACGATCACGTCTCGCGAGATCCAGACGGCTGTTCGGCTGACTCTGCCTGGAGAGCTTGCGAAGCACGCTGTTTCTGAGGGAACAAAAGCCGTGACCAAGTTCACTAGTGCATAGGCTCTCTTAGTTCCCTAGTTTTTCTGTCATGTCATACTGTTACTTTTGTTTTGTAACAATGTTGATAGTAGACTAATACTTTCGAAGTACCTTCCAAGTTGGCGGAGGTCCTGCAAAGGGGTGCAGATGGGCTGACGCTGTCTGAACATGCAACAATTCCCTTGCAAAGCGTGTTTGAGATTCCCTGTTTCCTTATCTATGGTTGAAATCCTGTCGTGTCCCATCCCATCTCCTCACCACCAAGGCATGTTGGCGGTTTGTTTTTCTTTCCTGTTCAGCTTTCACAGGCTTGTAGCATTGTGAAAACTAGCAGCTAGCGTATGGCTCACCTTGTCATGAACTGTCTGTTCCTTTCAACTGGGTGCCTCCTGCCAATGTCACCCCCCGCTGCCTCGTTTTCTAGCGCGCCCCGCTGCCCCGTCGCCTAGAGCGCCCTGCTGCCCCGTCGCCCAGCGCGCCCTGCTGCCCCACCACCCAGCACGCCCTGCTGTCCCGCCACCCAGCGCGCCCTGCTGCCCCGCCACCCAGCACGCCCTGCTGCCCCGTCGCCCAGCGTGCCCCGCTGCCTCATTCGCGCGAGCAGCAGCAGCAGCAGCGCACTGCTGCCCTCTAGCGCAAGCAGCAGCAGCGCACTGCTGCCCTCTAGCGCAAGCAGCAGCAGCAGCAGCGCCTAGGCCACCGCCGCCACTGCTGCCTAGGCCGCCGCCACTGCTGCCTAGGCCGCCGCCACAGCTGCTGCCTAGGCCGCCGCCGCCACTGCAGGGCCTCAGAAGTCAGCGAAAAAAGGCTGATTAGGGGTAAAAAGGCTGTTGTGGCAGCTTTTTTTTTGTTGTGTTGGCTGAACTTTCAGGTTTTTTTTATCTGTCTGGGCTGAAATATCAGTCTTTTTCCTGTCGTGTACGCTGTCTCATCAGAGTTGTAACGAAGGGGTGGGCTGAAATCCCTGTAATGGAGATTCGCGTAGGTGCCCTGAATTCCGGATGTCTAGGTACACCGCTTCGACCGTCCCTCCGTCAATCACGCCGAAATGGCAAGATTCCTTGCCAACGCATTCGGGAATGGCATCATTCCCGAACTTTCACTCCACTGCTGTCTTCTCGCGAAGGTATCTTCGCTCGTGATTGGTGGTTTGTGCAACCACATCAATTTGTGGCGAATGGAAAGACAACATCGCTGCACCACGCACGCACGTTGCAGCAGCACAGCACCACACACAACGCAAAATGGTTGCCGCGCGACTAGGAAACCCCCCCACCTCACCCACCCCGAAGCTGCAACCAGGTACGTGCATGATTCCTTGGGTCGCGTCGCCTTGCATCATGGCACGGTAAGCTTGCCAACCAAGCCCGCTTCACCAGCTCCTTTTTGCATAGCCCCAGGTAGCTGCTGGAGTCCCCCACCCCACACCCAACCACGCTAGGGTTTCACTTCATTCGCCTCTAGCACCAGGCAATTCTCTGCACGCTCTCTCAGTGCTCGGCACGCTCTCTCAGTGCTCGGCTCGCTCTCGTCTCTGTTCCGCCATGGCTGGCCATGGCGCCGGCCTTTCAGACGACGAGGGTGACACCGATTTAGACGACGCCGATAGCGATGCCATCGAAGAAGCCCGTACGGGGCTAGATCTTCTTCTTAGATCTTTAGGCCGCCAAATTCCACCCGCACGCGTCCCACCCGGTCCCCCTAGCGCCTCTCTTCCTAGTACCAGTCCCCCCCCCCGTAGACCCCCTCCCCCCACAAGGTCCTGCTCCCTCAGGTGTGTCTCAGGTATACCCACCCCCCTTGGTTGAGCCTTTAGAGATCTCTTCTGACTCCTCTGGCTCAGCTGAGGGGGGTGACCCCGCCGCTGACGACACGGCGACCACTCGCCGCTCTACACGCTTGGAGACCCCCCTTGGTTTTCCGCCTCGGCCGTCTTCGGCGCCTCAGCAGCCTGCTGCTGTGGACTCTGGTGCTGCTGCGGGTGGTGACACTGGTGGTGCGGGTTCTGGGGGTGCTGAGACAAGGGGTGCGGGGTCTGGGGGTGCTGCGACAGGGGGTGCGAGTTCTGGGGGTGCTGAGACAGAGGGTGCAGGTTCTGGGGGTGCTGCGACTTGGGGTGCTGACACTGGGGGTGCTGCGAGTCCTAGTGGCAGTGGAGCCGTGGGTGACCCTACTGGAGGTCCTGGAGTTGGACAGCCTAGTCGACTTGAGACGCTCTCGCCGCAGCAGATTCGTGAGAGGATCGTTCAACGAGGCCGTCCTGGTAGTGGAGGTTACGGTGTTACCGCTTTTGGAGCTGCTGGTGCTGGAGGTACTAGAGGTGCTGCTGGTGCTGGAGGTACTGGAGCTGCTAGTCCTGGAGGTACTGGAGGTGCTGCTGGTGCTGGAGGTGCCGGAGCTACCAGTCCTGGAGGTGCTACTGGTGCTGGAGGTGCTGGAGCTACAAGTCCTGGAGGTACTGCTGGTGTTGCTGGTGCTGGAGAAACTGGAGGTGCTGGAGGTGCAGCTGGTGCTGGAGGCGCTGGAGCTGGAGGTGCTGGAGCTGCTGGTCCTGGAGGTGCTCGTACTGTAGGTGCTGGAGCTGCTACTGGTGCTGGAGCTGCTGGAGCTGCTGGTCCTGGAGGTGCTCGTACTAGAGGTACTGGAGGTGCCGGAGCTGGTGGTGCTGCTGGTGCTGGAGGTGTTACTGGAGGTACTGGTGCTGCTAGTGCTGGAGGTGCTAGAGGTGCTGCTGGTACTGGAGGCGCTGGAGCTGGAGGTACTGGAGGTACTGGAGCTGCTGCCGCGACGGGTACTGCGCTGCGCCGACCGTTTTTCTACCCGCAGCCGCAGTCGTCCCTTCCACCGCCTGACTCACCCCTTCGCCAGGTTCTTAGTCTCCCGTCTTCCACTGGCCTCACTCCACCTCTCTTGTGTCCACCGACAGACCAGTCTCAGCCACAGCTACTGCTTAGCTCCCCGCTGCCTGTTCCTTTTCCTCACACTGAGGTGACAGAGTCCCTGACTGAGCGTCATGAGCCTGAGACTCGTGCTTCCACACCTGTTCGTGCTCGTCGTGTCGCCCGTCCTCGTCCTCCTGCTGCTGTCCCAGACACTCACGGTATGGCACTTCGTCCTTCATCAGTTCCACAGCGTGTTGTCCTGCCTGAGCCTCCCGCGTCCTCTCTTCCGCACGTTCTTGACCCTGAGTCCGACCTTGCTCGTGCTGTCAGTCCTACTGTCACTCGTCTCCTCGCTACTGTGGTCACTGACCCTGACTTTGAGCCTACTGCTGCGTTTGCCCTAGTCACTGAGCTAGTCGACTTTGCAGCTAGGAGTCGTCTCGAATACGTCGCGAGTCTTGTTACTGAGTCTGAGTCTGTCTATCCTCCGTCCGTCGGGGGTGAGCCTGCCCTTGGCAGTGACGTCCTTGAGGACAGGCAGTTTGAGCTTGAGTGTCTTGCGGCCGTTTTACCTCGTTTCGCATCCATGCTGCTTTGCCCTGAGGGAGACCCGGATGCACTTGACATCCTTACCCCGCGCTCTTACGCTGAGGCGATCGCGGGTGAGTACTCCTCTCAGTGGCAGACAGCCATGGACGCTGAGATGGCTTCCTGGAAATCCACAGGCACCTACGTCGACGAGGTTCCTCCTCCTGTGGCGAACATAGTCGATGGCATGTGGATTTTCAGAGTGAAGCGGCCGCCGGGTTCTCCGCCTGCCTTCAAGGCACGTTACGTTGCTCGAGGTTTCAGTTAGCGACAGGGGGTCGACTACTTCCAGACATTCTCCCCCACCCCGAAGATGACTACTCTTCGGGTGTTGCTACACGTTGCAGCACAGCGTGAATACGAGCTGCACTCCCTCGACTTCTCCATAGCTTTCTTGCAGGGCAGCCTTCACGAGGAGATCTGGCTGCGCCGCCCAGCAGGCTTCTCTGGGTCGTTTCCTGCGGGTACCCAGTGGAGCCTCCGGCGGCCAGTCTACGGTCTCCGCCAGGCGCCCCGCGAGTGGCACGACACACTGAGGACTACACTTGCGGCTCGTGGGTTTGCTCCTTCCAATGCTGACCCGTCGCTGTTTCTACGCACCGACACTACCCTGCCGCCGTTCTACGTTCTCGTGTACCTCGACGAATTGGTTTTTGCTACTACTGACACTGAGGCGCTGGCCCTAGTGAAGGCGGAGCTGCTGGAGAGACACACCTACACTGACCTGGGTGAGCTGCGTAGTTATCTTGGCTTGCAGATCACCCGGGACAGAGCACGGCGCACCATCACCCTGACTCAGTCACACATGGTGCACCAGGTCCTTCAGCGCTTCGGCTTCTAGTACTCCTCGCCACAGCCGACTCCTCTGCCTACTGGCCACTCACACTCAGCTCCACCTTCGGACAAGTCCATAGAGCCGAGTGGTCCGTATCCAGAGCTTGTGGGTTGCCTCATGTACCTGATGACGTGCACACGACCTGACCTCGCGTACCCTCTCAGCCTCCTGGCTCGCTACGTGGTTCCTGGTAGACACCGAAAGGTGCACTGGGATGCTGCGAAGAGGGTACTGCGTTACTTGTGCAGTACATCGGGCATAGGGCTCGTGCTTGGAGGACAGGGTTCAGTGGTACTCACAGGACACTCCGACGCTACTTGGGCCGACGACCAGGCGACTCAGCGTTCGTCACAGGGTTACACCTTCAGTCTTGGCTCTGGTTCTGTCTCGTGGAGGTCCACTCGTTCTTCTTCTGTGCTTGGTTCCAGCTGTGAGGCCGAAATCTACGCTGGGGCCATGGCTGCACAGGAGCTACGCTGGCTGACCTACCTGCTTACCGACTTGGGGGAGCGGCCTCGTTCTTCTCCAGTTCTGTACGTCGACAACAAGGCCATGCTTGCCTTGTGTCACGAGCAGAGACTGGAGCATAGAACGAAGCACATTGCTCTTCGCTACTTTCTTGCTCGAGAGCTGCAGCAGCGTGGTCAGCTTCGCCTTTCTTACATGGCCTCACGGGCCAACACTGCTGATGTCTTCACCAAGGCCCTCGAGTCTGGTGATCATCAGCGTTTTTGCATTGCTCTTGGGCTTCTGCCCGTTCTGCCTCACCTGCTTGTCTCTTGATCTTGCACTTGTTGTACACTGATATCTATATTTATACCTGCATGTTTCCTCTTGCTAGGTTGTGATCAGTGTCCTGCCTTGCTATTATAACTCTGCATGTGAACTGGCCTTGTGGCCGCTTGCTTGTGCTCAGAATGAGTGGTGATCTTGAGATCCACCCTGGGCTTTGCATTGCTTTGTTCTCTTGCCTGACTGGTCTTGTGACCGTTTGTTGTGTTGGCTATCCCTCACTTTGCCTAGGGGGGTGTGTCAAATCATATATGTATGTTCCTAGTTCTGCTAGGCTACAGTGAGGTGCTCAGTATAGAGTATAACCCCAGTTAGGGTTTCATAATTGTATCTCCTTGTTGCTAGTCATTCATCATTCCTGCACAGATTATTCTGACAAATTGGACGCGATCGCGGAGCGATGTGCGGTCAAAACCACTGCCCATTGGAATCGAAAACAAGAATACACGACGGCTTGTCATTTCTGTCAGAATCACTGTGCAGGAATGACTAGAAACAAGGCAGTACAGGTTTGTATAGGCTAACCCTAATTGGGGT